GGTGGTACATCTATGGAAGTAGATTGCCCAGTCTTCCTTCCGAGGAGTGGCTGGTGGGTTTGAACCACCAGCCTTCTAGTTAGCAGTCAAATGCCTTGAGCACTATGCTACCAGAGCTCCTACAAAATATGGAACACTTCATGAATTTGTGTGTCATCCTTGCACAGGGTTTTTGGTTTTGCGTTTTTGGTCAACAACAACAAAAAAGAGGTATAAATAAGAATCAAGAGGTTTAAGCTGCAGTGGCAGGGCCTGGAGTTAGACTTCAGCAGGATGAAGACCTCAGGCCCTGACCCACACAGTCTGCAGAAGAGACACAGAGCTCCTGATCTGAAAGAAACACTACTAGAATGCTAAACTGGGCCCAAGGACTCGAACTGTGTCCTCTCAACTGCATACCAACCAGCCAAGGGGCAGATTTCTTGTCTCTGTGGAACTTGCAGAAAAGGAGGACTACCTGTGGGGCGGTAGGGAGGAAGAGGAATGGAAGAATGACTATGTAGGAAGACAGTCCTGGGCGGGAATGTCCTACTCAGGTCTTGCTCTGGCTCCTGCAGGCTCCTGATAAGCAGAAGGTGATGGGTCCCCACCCTGATAGCCCAATGCTGGCTTATCAGGGGCTTCAGACTACCCCACCCAGGCCTAGACTCTTCTCCAGCCCACACCCTGATCACAGCACCCCCCACCCCAGCCAGGGGTCACAGGCACGGAGTCTCTCTCTACCTCCAGGACCCCTGGTTCTGTCCATGCCCCCCTCCCCAGGGACCAAGCAGAAGTTTAGGCAGTGAGCAGCACGAAGTTTGTCTCTGGTGCACAAAGTCCCTCACTCTAGTAAAGGAGCCTAAGCTGTCTGTGGGGTCTCTGAGTAGAGATGGCCTGGCAGGAGGGGTCACAGAACAGGAAAGGGGGTCACAGGATGGTGACAGCAGACACAATGATAGTTCCTCATCTAGTTAGAACACCTAGTTTATAGAAGTTTCTCACTCAGTTCTTAGAACTTAGTGAGGTATGTGTTACCACCGAAGCTTGGAGAAGTAGCACTCTGTTCCCATTCACACAGCTAGTGAGTAAGAGGCAGCAGAAAGAAAGAGGGAAAGATCCTGACAGTTGCTCTCTATGTGCTAGGATCCAGTCTTGGGGTTTGCTGTGAAGGCTAATATAATCCTCATAACTACCACAGGAGGTAGGGACTGATAGCTCCCATTTTATATTTGAGTAAACTGAGGCTAAGAGCACTTGCTCCAACGTCATAGAGCTGGGACTGTCACTTAGGGCCTGTCACCTCTAAACTTTGGCTCTTTCAACAGCCCTGAGCTGCTTTCAGGAACATTTCCATGGACTTTTAGATGTTCAGCAAGCCTTGCCTGTGGCCTTCAGTGGTACCCAACACTCTGCTGTGTGCTTTACCGGCAGGAGCTCACCTGGCTTTCACAGTTACTCTGTGAACTGGGGACTGTTGCTATTCCCATTTACAAATGAGTTGTAACCATCACAGGGAAGGTCCAAGAGAAAAAATGACTTGCCACAGTCTCAGTGGGTCTGGCTCCCCAGGTGAAGATCTTTTTCCTTTTTCACATTACATTATATTAGGCTCAGCTAGATGTCAGTCACTAGACAATAACATTATTTTAAAAAAATCACTGCCGTTGAGTCAATTAGACTCATAGCAACCCCTCCTTGGGTTTCCGAGCCAATATCTCTACAGAAGTAGATTGCCCAACCTTCCTTCCAAGGAGTGGCTGGTGGATTTGAACTGCCAGTCTCCTGGTTAGCAGTCAAAATGCCTTAGGCACTACGCCACCAGAGCTCCCAACATTTATTTAGTTACTGCTAAACAGAACATGCTAAACAGAACATGGAGCTCTGGTAGCATAGTGGCTAAGGCACTTGACTGCTAACCAGAAGGCTGGCGGTTCAAACCCACCAGCCACTCCTCGGAAGGAAGGTTGGGCAATCCTACTTCTGTAGTGATACTGCCTCGGAAACCCAAGGATACTGCCTCGGAAACCCAAGGAGGGGTCGCTATGAGTCAGGGCTGACTCGACGGCACATAACAACAACAACCACAACAAACAGAACATGCTAGAGATAAATCAGTGACTAAACCAGGCTCTCATGATCATTGGTTTAACATGAATAATCGCACAAATAAACGAGCCCATAACATGGGGATGTCATTAGCTGAGGAAAGCTTCCCTACAGATCTGAAGAGGGAACAGGAGGAGCTGTTCTTGTCTTCTAGTGAGACAAGAAAGGAGGGAAGATCAAGCCAAGCAGAGGAAGAGCGTGTGCAAAGGTGGCAGAAGGAACCAGAGCACATCCAGAGAACCAAAAGAAGGCTGGATCTCCTCATTTCACTCTATCCTGACCTTGTCTAGACCTGCAGAGATGGGGTATAACTACCTCTCAAGCACACAGACCACTATGCCTAGCATCGGGGAAGGAGAAGGAGCAGAGAAGAAGATCCATCCTCCAGAATGAGGGTCTAAATAGTAGAGACCCTGCTTTGAGGGTCTCCCCTTCCACTGAGGCAGAGAACTAAGCAGTGTCAGCCTTTCATTCCAAACGCCTTGAGCCCTGAAGAACAGGTCTCCACTACACTTAGGCTGGCTCCCAGGAGAGCTTGGGATTCAACTGTCCATTAAGCTCCCAGAAGAGTGGTCTCCACTCAGGGACCTTGCCAGGGTTGAGGTGGGCGAACAGCTAAGGGTCTCTGCTGGCCTAGGCTTAGCCTCCCTGGGGTCAGCACAAACAAGGCAGGGGTTTGGGCACTGAAACCTAGGCTGCAAGGTCCTGTGAGCTTGACTTTAGACAGATTACACAGAGATACAACTAACATTCCCCACCCCCAAACCTTCCACCAGGGCTCTGACCAGCAGTAAGACCGGAAACATGGGAAAGAGGCTGTTCTTTCTCCTCCCCAGCCCAGCAGATGACCAGCTTCATGGGGAGCTGAGTGAAGAATAGATTTGAGGCTTAGCAAAATCTATAAAAAGAGTACTAAGTGCCAAGAAAAGGCCTAACAGGGAGACAGGTCGGTGACACTTGTTCTAGAGTCCAGCAGGGGAAGGGTTAAGACACAGGGCCTTCTAGGAATAATACCCATAAAAAGTAACTGACATTGTCAAATAAGACCAAGTAAGCTTAAAGCAAGAACTAGGTATGAAAAAAAATCTACTAAAAATCTTGGAAATTAAATGCTGGTAGAGGCATATATATATATATATATATATATACACACACACACACACACACACGTACATACATACGTATATATACACATACACATATATATATACACACACATACATATATGTATTTTTTTTTTTGTAAAGAAATTGCAAAAAATGGATAATGTTTCATCTATGCAGAAAATGAAGTGTGGGTGGCTTCACTTTTCATTTTGTGCTTTTCTGGACTCTCTAAATTCTCAAAACATATATTGTTCTTATTAAAAGAAAATCCAACAAGATTCTTGATAATAAAATTGATTTTCTTCTTTGAACATCTCTAGGTAAAAATAGTTTTATAGGCTTTTTCTTTTACCAATTTTATTGTAGTGAAATATTTACAGAAAAAAGCTTGCCATTTTAACTTGTTATTTTTTTAAAGAAATAAAAGTTTAAAAATGGAATAAATGGCTTTAGAAAAAAAAAAAAGAGGCAGGGCATCTGGAACCGGGAAAAGTACCCCACCCAGGGGAGGGGCCAGTGGGGTTAAAAGGCAAGAAGCAGCTTGAGCTGAGAGGCAGGGAGAGGGCCTCCAAACATCCAAAGGCCCACCCAGTGTGCAATTCCAGCTCCAGGTAAGCACCCCTCTGGGTCTGTGTGTCTGCTTCTTGGTCTGACTAGAGGGAACCTTCTGCCTTATTATGTGATCTCTGGCTTGTTTAGCTCTGGCACTAGATCCTAAGACACTCAAAACACCACACTCTGCAGGGGCCTCTGCTTCTGAGCCCATTAGGTTCAGGGCCAGTCTTCTTCCCTGGACCCATTTGACTGCCCCTAACCAGAATCAAGAAGCTGCTGCCCCAGGGGGGTTGTGGGGCAGGGAGAGGGAAGCTGTGTCTAGCCTTGACCTGTCCTGTTCTGCCCCCAGCCCTGGCTCTCACTGCCCACAGTGCTCCCTGTGCCCCCTGCAGGGCCTTGGCTGGGATATCATCATATACTGTAAGTTTGTGATGAGACACTACAGTATAGATGATGTACTAGTCTGGGTACCCCCCGCTCTGGAGCCTGATGAGGAGGGCAGGGGAGATGGTGCAAGCCCCAAGGGGGTCACTCCTCAGCCTATCACAGACTGCCGATCACCAGGGCACTTGGGAATGGCGAGGAAACCGTTACCATTACTGAGTTTAGTAATGGTAACGGTTCTCTTGCTGCACCCAGAAAACGTGCCAAGAAGAGAGCTCAAGACCCTGGAGCAGACTACTGGAAGGGAGGGACGAAGACTACTGCTCAGACAAGGGGTGGGGGTGAGGGAACGGGTAAGCTTCCTCTTTTCTGTTCTAAAGAAATAAAGGTGAGAATCAGAATGTTTCTTTTTAATTTTATTCGTATCCAAGATTCAGGAGAGGGGTACAATGGGAGGGATCATGAGGGGGTACTTTCTCACATAAAACACTTGGGGCCTCACATGGTTTTAAGGTAGAGGAGCTAGGGAGAGAAAAAGATTTTTCTCTCTGCTAACAACTCGAGGAAAAACTCTGGGCTAAATGCCAGGTGGAGGCAGGGTGTCACTGCTCCCACCATGGGGCCAACTTCTGAGACCTAAGTAAGCTGTAGCCCCAAGGACAGGAACTACCCGGGAACTGAGCTAAGGCAGTCTCCTTTCTCCAACAAGAAACACAGCTGGGCAGGTTCTGTGGAGACTTGGCAGCTAGCAGTCAATGTCCACGCCCCTCACCAATCCCTACAGGTCCCTGGGAAGAGGTAGTTCTGGTCAGTGGCTTCTGCCAACAGCTTGAGGTGGGATGCCCTGGGAGGAGTAGTAGAGGGTGATCATTTGAGGAGCTTCACAGAGAGGCGGAGCTGAACATCACAGAGAAAGATATCCATGAGCTCACGGCCCACCTCCTTTGCAATCTGGGTGATCAGTTGCCCCCTTTGACCAATCAGGATTCTCTGAGGATGAGAAAAAAGAGAGGGACAGGGTTGCACTCTCAGAGCTCCCAAGAAGTGGGGAAGAATCCCCATCTAACAGAGCCGTGCTCCCTCCTCTGAACCTAGACCCACTTACCACATGAGATTCTTTGGGGACCAGAAGCTTCTGGAGGATCACCAGCTGGCCACTTGGCCCTTCCTCCCACATCTCAGTCTTCTGTACAGGGAAACATCAAAATTAGGCAGTCAGGCTCATAACCCTGCCTCTCTGGGACCCAGCTGCTCTGCTCTGGGGGTATGCTTGCTACAGAGCCCCTAGACCCCTTCACTGTGCTTGTACCTGCTGTACATTGTAGGGCACCTCCTGGGGTAGGTACTCAAGGAGCTTCTCCCGGATGATGTTGGTGCAGATCTCCTCAGGCGTCTGGGTAGTAAGGACTCCACTGTGGAACTCCCAGGGCCCTGGCCGGGCCTGTGCTAAGAGGTATTGCTGTGGGCACAAGGGAAGAAGGTAGACATCTCAGACCCAATCTGGCTTTTCCTATTTACTGTCACTTCCGGGGGGAAATATGAAGCCTGTCTTTACATGGTGGAAGCTATGGGCCAGGCTGTGGCCAAGTCTAACTGACCTTCAGCACTGTCACATCCTCTTGGCTTAAGGCTGATAACATGAAGATCTCCTGGAAGTGGGGCCAGCCAATCTTCTGAAGGCCTCCAACAGGCTGTGTGTCTGGGCCCTTAGCTTCTGGGCTGGGGCAATGAGTGCTAGTGTGTGAGCGGAAGGCCTGTTTCATCTTGAGTTTCTTCCCATTGACCACACCTTCAGTGAGGGCTGCTGTGAGCTCCAGGAGAACTGACTTCTGCTTCAGACAATCTACCTGGACATGGGGGGTCGGGCAGAGGAAGTGTGGTCAGAGGGACGAGGAGGGCCTTGGAGGAAAGTAGACCCCTTTACCAGGAGGGTAGTACTCACCTTGTTCATGACAAGGATGCTAGGGACCTGGGAGAACTGGGTCAAGCACTGGAGCACTTGGGGGCTAAGCTGGTTTCGAGTCCACTTATCTGAGACATCCACAAGAACCACTACTGGAAGTTGGGAGGGTAGGGAGGAGGACAAGGATATGATCTCTCTCCCCCACAAAATCTCCCACAATATGGGTTCTGGCCAGCCCCCAGCCCCCAAACTCTCAGGAATGAGGGGTTAGGGCTTCAGATTCCCATCCTGAGCCTAACCCAGATCAGCAGATTCCATGCTCTTCCATGGATCTTCCAACAAAGAGAGCTCCAAATGGTGCCTGAGGGATAGACATACATTATTCAGGAAGGGTCTCCTGGCAAAGGCATTCCTGATAAGGGTGAGTATCACCCATCGAGTCCTCCTACCATCTGTTTCCATAACTATTACCTTTTCTGTTTACTGGGACTGATGAGGCCAGGTGTGTCAAGCAGAATCTAAAATCAAGAAAGAGATGTGTCCAGACCCCAGGAAGAAAGATTATCACTGAGGAGTGAGCAAGGGATCACCCTTGATGCCAGGAGCCTGCCCTCCCATCTTTGCTAAGCTACTGCTGACTTTATATTTTTACCCCTCATCTTTAATTCTAGGTAGGATCCAGGAGGAAGGTGATGGCTATGACTGTATGGAAGATTATATGCCAGAGGGGGGAAGGTGGAGACAAAATTGCACCAAGCCTAAAGAGGTGACCCCTTTCCCTCAGATAATTGAGTCTAAGCATCATTTTCTTCAGGGTTAATGGTTATGAAGACCCTCTTAGCTTGTCCCTCTATCCTGTTTCCAGTACTTTCTTTGCGGGTACCCACCACCTGGGCCTCCTTCTCTGTGATGACTCCCAGAGCTTGGCAGCGAGTGGTGTGCACCTTCTTGGAGACAGGAAACACCTGCCAAAACAAAGAAGTCCCAAGTGAGGCCCCAGACCTCTCTAGGACCATCCATGATAGTATAGCAAAAAAGTGGGAAATACAAAAGGCAGTGGTCGTGAGTGCAGCGTACTTTTCGGCCTAGCAGCTGGTTGGAGAGTGTTGACTTCCCTGCATTTGGGGCTCCCAGGAGGACCACTCGCAGGACCCGGGGGTTCTCAGGCATGTCAGGATGATGGACCACGAGGAGATCCTGCTCATCTGGGAGCAGAGGAGAAGGGAAATGACAGTAGAATCTGGATTCCCCATCAGGTGCTTGGTCCTATCCACCCACAAAGGGCATAGACATACAAGACTAGTGTATCAGACAGAAGGCAAGGCTGGGATCTGAGCCTTAGTTTTGCAATTAAGTTGCTTATGTGGTTTTATCAGGTTCTTTAACCCTCTGAGACTGAGTTTTCTCAAGCAAAATGGATAAAACATTAACACATACTTACAACTAATAATCTTCTTTTGACCGTTACAATTGAACAATCACTCAGTCAATGCCTGGCACTTATATAATACTCAATGATGGTAGCTGTACTTGGTAAATGTATGTACATGTGTGAAAGTACAGTTAACTAGATAAAGTAAACAATTCCTCCAGTTCTGACCATCTCACTCTACTAAGGGTGCTATGAAAGGTCTCCAAGTTTTCTTAGACCTTATATATCCAAACCATTTATCACATTGCATTGCAATGACCAGTTTATGTAACCAGCCTTCCTTCCTGACTCTAACCCATGCTACTTGAATAGAGGGTTCTCTCTACCTCCCAGCTGTAACTCAGTGTCTTGACAAATGGATGGGACTCAACATATATTTGGTGGATCAAATTTGCTTCCTTATGGGGGCAGAGATCCACAATTTTCTTTGGCCTAAGGACCTTCAATCTTACATTCTTTTGTGAGAGTCTCTGAGTCCTAAACGCTTAGAAATTGGGATCACTTTCCTGTGAGATCCTTCACTGCTCGCTTCTAAGGTCCTCAAGAATGCTTTCTAGAACATAGGGCCAAGAATGATATTCTAGAACTGAGCGGGTTTCTGACGCCGGACTTTCAATGCTAAAAACGTTACAGTCACAGGCAACTTATCTGGGTCCTTTACCTCTGTGTATGGACACCGCGGGGGCACAAGGAGTCAGGGAATTGTCTGGCTGAGCGAGTCCGAGGAAGCGATCCAAGGCAGAGCCCTGGCCATAACAGCGAGAGGCCGAGGACAGGCGTGGGCCAGAGAAAGCGGCGGCTGCGACACAAGACACAGACCTCCGCTGATAACCCAAGAACGAGGGGAGGCGGCTCACCCAGTCCCTTGTGGCTTCGGGGCCCTGCTGCCAAACTCCCACCACCGCGCGAACTAGCCTAGTCCCGCGACGGCCGGGGGCAGCCATTACAGCCACAAGGCACTCTGGGAAGCGACCAGGGAGCACACCAACGATTGGACAGAAAGGCGGAAAAGCGGCAGAGTGGGAGGGAGCTAGAGCTGCCTAACCAGAGAGCGGAGACGTTGGAGATGTGGGAGACGGGGCGACGACGAGCCACTCTGGAGCGTTGTGGAAGCTAAGCAAAGGGGAAACTACGTAGTGTAGAGTCTGTTTGAGCATGACGATTATTTTGGTCTCCCATACACATTGTGTTTTCTTCTCTTCCTGCCAAAGTTTTGTAAAATGGCCCTTTCAGTCCTGCCTTCTGAACGACTACGTCTCCCACGAGGCCAAGCGGCAGAAACCTTCCTCCTGGTGTCTGACCATTCTGAGCCTGGAGTACCTCACCTGTAGGAGGGAGTGTGAGAGCAAACACTGTTTCGCTCGTCCCCGCAAGGCACTATTTACTCCTGCCCTGCCTCAGTTCTATTGGATCCTCTGCCGGTCCCACTTTGGCTTGGCCTAGTGGTCGGCCTCCAACAAGCTGGACCTTTGCTTTATGTGAGCCTTCTGTAAGGATTGGTCATTGAGTGTGTGTGGCCTCCTCCAGACCACCCTGAGGTAGGAGTCGCTGTTCGGATGAGCTGCAGATCTTTGTTCCCCTCCTGTAAGCCTTGGCCACTGTCTTCTCTCTCAGAGGGTCCACAAAAGGAGAAGCAGCTGACTAGCTACTGAGGATCTCCCAGACCGCCTTATGGGTCTGAGGAAATTGATTTACATTGATTGATTTGTTACTGATTTGTTACCTTGAGCCCTCTTCACTCTTGGAAGCCTCCCAACCAAATTATTGAACCAGAGATAAATCCTAAGGGGGGGATTGAGGATTCATTACATGTCTACTAAATGTAGGCCCTGGCCAGGTGCTGGGGCTCCATCAGTGAACAAAATGGACAAAAATCCTCCATCATGGAACTTTCATCCCGTGGCGTAGGAATGAGGGTTTGGTGACAGACAGTATGCAGTATGCATAATGAAGGATCTTAGAAGTTCTATGGATAAAAGTAGTAAGGTAAAGGGGAATTGAGATGAATATAGGAGTGAATGTGGTTGTAATTTAAATAGCATGGTCAGCTAGACCTCATTGAGAATATGACATTTAAACAAAAACTGGGAATAAGAAAGTTTCAAGCAGAAGGAATAAACACAGAAAAGCTCTGAGGTGGGGATGTATATGAGGACAAGCAAGGAGGCCATTGTGGCTGGAGTGGAGTGATTGGGGAGTTGAGGTCAGATAGGTAATGTGGCTAGGTAGTGATGTGGCTTTTACTCTGAGACAATGGGGAACAATGGGAAGGTTTTGAACAAAGGAGTAACATGATGTGGCTTACATTGTAAAAGGAGTAAGGATGGAAGCAGTTAGGAGGCTTTTGCAGTAATTCTGATGATAGATTATTGTGGTTTAGATCAGGACCTACCAGTGGAGAGTTAAGAAGTGGTCGTATTTTGGATATGTGATTTGCTGATCTATTGGATATGAATTGTGAGACAAATAGATGATAAGGATGGCAACAAGATTTTTTACCTGAGCTACAGGAAGAACGAAACTGCCATCAATGAGATAGGAAAGATTACAGATATAGCAGTTTTTATGGGTAATGAGCAAGAGTTCGTTTTTGGACATGTTTGACATGTCTATTAGACAAGCAAGTGGAAATGTCAGGTAAGCAGTTGGAATAGTCTGGAATGCAGAGAAGTCGGGTGAGAATGTATTTGATGGTCACCAAGGGAGTGACATACAAAGAAGACTGAAGACTTCCAGACTTCACTGAGGTAGAAGTACTGCCCTCAGGCAGGGGCAATACAACATTAAGGGATAGGGAAGAGGAACCTGCAGAAGAGACTGAGAAGAAACATCTGTGAGGTAAGAAGGACACGGAATGAAGTTTCCAGGAAGAGGGGAATGATCAACTGGAATGAGGATTGAATGAGGATTGGGAATTGACCACTGGATATAGCAGTGTGCTAGTCATTAGTTTTTTTTTTTTTTTTTTAAGGAGCTCTGGTGGAGTAGTGGATAAGGCACTTGACTGCTAACTGGAAGGTCAGCGGTTCAGACCCAACAGCTGCTCCGTGGAAGGAAGATTGGGTGATCTACTTCCATGAAGATTTACAGCCTTGGAAACTCACTGGGGGTCGCTATGAGTTGGAAACTACTTGATGGCAGTGAGTTGTTTTTTTTTAGTCATTAGTAACCTGAAAGGAACAGTTTTTGTTAAGTGGTTTGGCCAAAATCTTAAATGGAGTGGATTTAAGAGATAATGGGAGGAGAGGAATTGAGGACCACCAGCCATATGTGTGTGTATATATGTATACATAGAAAGAGAGAGAGCTTTTGTGTCATAGTGCCTACAGCATTTGACTGCTAACCAGAAGGTTGGTGTTTCAAAACCACCAACCACTCCGTGGATAAAGACTGGGCAATCTACTTCTGTAAAGATTTACCGCCTCAGAAACTCAAAGGGGGTCACTATGAGTTGAAATCGACTTGATGGCAGTGAGTTTGGTTTTTGTGAGTGTGTGTATATATATAGTAGATATATATACATATATGTACATATATATACATATATATATAAATACATACATTTATTTATATATTTATATATGCACATATACACACACACATATATACATATACATACATATATATGTATGTATGTATGTAT